TCTCCTAACTTGTCAACCTCTCCACAATTAAGACACAATAACACGCCGAATTCCTGAATCATCTTGAATTTTTACTTAAATGTAAATGTAAAAAATTGATCCCCAATTTTATTCAAATCAAATCTAATCAAAAACCTTCGAGTCGTGTTTCAAGAATTCTGTTAAATTGCAAGCTTGCCTTACTTCGGTCCGTGATAAGGGATACACGTCAACAATTGTCCAAAATTGAACATGAACTCTATAAGCTTCATCTGGAACTCGCTAAGTCATATCCAAAATTCACTGCCCTTGAACAAAAGTCTTGGTCTAGAACGGAGAATGCAGTTAACCGTCATAAAAAAAACACCCTTGCAGTTAAATTCGAAAAAACTTCTTTTACAGTCTTCCAGTTCAAGTAGTTCAAAAAATCTTCCCATTGTAAACATCAAGCCAATAGTTAATATTTCTAATGTTAGTCTTTCAGAAGAACAAGAGAGAATTCTAAAATATAATTTTAACTTCTCACAAACCTGTAAACCCTCGATTCCAAAGATTTTGGCTCCTATCGAAAAAGCTTTCAAGTTTCAGTAAAGTTTTCTGATTTCACAGAAAGAAATGATTAGGCATCTTATCGCTCATAATGTGAAATTCAATAATAAACCTTTGAAACCAAATCTAACTGCGAGAGAAAGAGAGAAAGAGCTACAATGCGCGAAATTCATTTCTAACCCAGATATTATCATTTCAAGGCCGACAAAGGTGGCCATATAGTCGTCATGGATAAGAACACTTACAATCGATGGTGTCACTAAACTCTTAAATGAAGGACCATATAATCCGATCCCTAAAGATCTTCACCTTCGGACTTATCCAAAAATAAAAACTGTGATCAAATCTTCGCAAATCATTTCAAGCAACTTAAAACATTCGCTTATCCCATCTGTTGCGAATTGCGCCAGATTATATGCTCTTCCCAAAATTCATAAAAGTGGTATTCCTTCCGCCCTATTGTATCAAATTAGGTACTGCCTCGTATCCTTTAGCTAAATATTTAGTTCTAGATTTCCACTCTATTAGACAATAACATTTACACCATAACAAATTCAATAGAGTTTGTAAAAAGGTTAAAACATTTCTCCTAGTAATTTACTCATGGTTTCTTTTGATGTTAAATCATTATTCACCAATGTCCCAGTGGAGGGTGCATTAAGATGTCTAGAAACCAGACTTCGCGAATTTCATTTCTCTTGCATCGAAATAGATGAGCTAATTTCTCTCACTCAACTTTGTTTGAAACAAACACATTTTGTTTTCCAAAATAAATATTACAAGCAAACTGAGGGATTAGCCATGGGAAGCCCCCTCAGTCCCATCCTGGCTGATATCTACATTCATTATTATGAAACTTTAAACTTCCCGGCATGGTTCCGCTACGTAGATGATACTTTTACCCTGTTTGAAGGTAATAAAGATGATTTAAATAAAGTTCTTTCAACAATGAATTCTATTGATCCTGCTATTCAGTTCACTTTTGAACTTGAGACTTGCAATTCTCTTCCGTTTCTCGACATTCTGGTCACACGTAACACATCCAACTTCAGTACTACAGTTTACCGTAAACCTTCATCGGTTTGCCTTCCACCACACTTTAATCATGTCATCCGACTAAACAAAAGTTAGCTTCATTTATTCTATGTTTTCGTGCTCTTCAAGTTTGCTCCTCCAAACTAGCCCTTGATGAAGAACTAAATTATTTAAAAGCAATAGCTATTGACAGGGGCTTTTCACCCAACATTATTAATCAAGCAGTTAAAAATTCTCATCTCAACACACTAAAAGCCACACTCTTATTTTAGGAGATTATAAAAATTCTGTTGTCATTCCCTTCTTTCCATCAATTAGCTATAAAGTTGCACATATTTTGCAGAAATTTAACTTTCGGGTTGTTTATTCTCCCATCAATAAAATTCCAACTTCTATACTCAAGGACCCCATTCCGGATATGAATTCCTGGGGTATTATAGGATTCCTTGCCAGTGTGGTTTAATTTACATTGGCCAAACTAAGAGAGCCTTAAATTTCGTGTCAAAGAACATGAGGCATATGTTAGAAAAAAGGAAACACAGAAGTCTTCTGTTGCTCAACATTGTTGGTCTGAAAATCACACTTTCAATTTTCTGCTGCCAAAATTATTCAAAAAAACATCTTCCATTGGAGAACGGATTTTCTAGAGGCATTTCACATTCATAAAAAATCTTTCTGTTCTAGTTAACGATCTAATTCCAATCCAAATTTGCCTTCGGCTTTTAGAGAAGAAATTATGTTTTAGTTCTGGTTTCGCCAAAGATGGCGCCACTTGCTTATTCTTGTCCAGGCTTTCTTATCTTATCTAATCATTATTTCCTATCTTGTTCATTTGCGGTTTTGCAGCTGAAGATGATGGTTCGGTAAAACCATCGAAACTAGTCCTGTGAAAATTTTGTAGGTATAACGCTGATTTTTGTTGTTTAGACTTCTGAATTAGTACCTATGAGGGTTTAATTGATCTGTAAAAGTTAAATAGTCCCAAACTCCCGACAGGCGTGAAACATATTATCGCTCTGAAAAAATTTAACTAATACCAGATAAAGGTTTAAATAAGCCTCTTATTTAAAAAGACCTTAGAACATAAAGGCATGTTCTGATGCTAACAAAATCAATTACAGCTCATGGTGACATAATTAAACAAGAACAGTCAAATTCAAACTAATAATGTGGACTAGTGATCAAAGATTATATTACTTAATTTTAATTTAATCTGGCTCAATAACTCTATCATATGAGGAAATAGAAATGGGGAATTATAGTAAAGGTTGAAATCATAAACAATTGGGTAGTTTACATAATAATAACTACACATATCTTTGAAGAATAATTTCCTTTATGTATTCAGTTTCTTTATTCAACACATTTTCTTTTCATTTTAGAATTTTTGGATTTAATTAAGGATTTCTGTTATTCTAAAAAGCACTAAATGCAATTAGAATGTACGAAAAAGTGGCTAATTTTATTTCTTTAGTAATAGGAACATTCAGAAGCACTATGAAATAATATAGTAAAGTTCAGTTAGAGCTGATGTGGCAGAAGTTCTAGAATTTAGTGACACACCGAACAACACAATCTAGAAATGGCAAAACTTTTAGAATTTAGAACAAGCATTGGAAGCAGAATTTAGAAAGGCACTAGGCAGTAGAATTTAGGATCCACAGAGATTGCATCAGGTGGGAAAATGCCTAGTGCCAGCTATGTGTATGATGCATTAAGAAATGTTAGATGAATCTTTTAAATTGTAAGTTTTCAATTTCTTTATTAGTAAAAAAATCTTTTTCTGTAATGCCTGCCCATGTGATAAGATCAGAAGCATTATTGATATTTTCCATGCTTCTATGTAGTGAAAAGTAGAGAAAATAAAGAGAAGATAAACATGTTAAGATTCTAGTATCAGAAGTAATACATTCAAATATGTTTTCATTGTTCTTACTATGAAAAAATTAAAAACAAGACATTTTTAATTAATTACATAGCTAATTTTGCTTTTGCTAAGAGCTCTTTCGTAAATTGTGCTTTATAGCATTATAACTTGTTTATTTTTCAGATTAAAAATATTGTATAATAAGTTGTCAAAATGAAACTTTATAATATTACAGCCAAAAAATAAAAATGTTTCATTTTAATGTTATTTTTAAATATATTCAATATATTACTATTATTTTAATGAAATTTATTAATTTATTAATAAATTAATTACCGTACGAACCCTGTTGAAGGGCAGTGGTTACCTATAGAAACCACCTTTTCATTGAATGGCTTACTCACTCGTGTGAGTGGTTTTCAAGACTGACCGTTTCTGAAGCTCCTTTGTAGCTCACTAGATGGCAATCAAGAAACATAAATGCATCACTTCAAGAAAATAAACATCAGCCATCGAAGACAACATCACGATGATGTGCACTCTGCAGCACATGAAAAAGCCTGTAAGAACAGTGTGGGAATGCAGCACATGCAAAATTGCACTCTGCTTGAAAAATAAAAACTGTGTGTTCTGTGGGTGGTGGTCACTGACACTAACCACCAGAAGGGGTCATTTGTTTCATGCGTCTTGGACGAAATATGTGCACTTGTTGCAAATAATTTCATTGTAACACCTGATATAGTAAGTAAGACAAGAGTTTTACTGAAATAGTTAATTGCCTTTTATTACCTCTCAAAGAGTTAAAGATTAAATTTGTAAAATATATTTTTCCCATCTCCTTTAATGAATGAGTTTTCTTTTCCTTTTATTATTGATATGTTTTGAATAAGTGTTATTTCCTTGTGCAATCCATATAGCATATCGCGGTAAATATTATTTAAAATATATTAGTAAGTATTTTATTTGTACATAATTAATTAAACATGCTTGAACTTTTGAAGTATTTTAACACAGCAGTTAAAAAAATTGCATATATATATATATATATATATATATATAATTTAGTGAAGAAGTCTTAATTTTATTCTGTTACTTGATTTGACACTGAATTTCTTCCTTCCATCGAGGAGGGCTTCGGAATTTTTGGATGAACTTTACATTTAAAAAACTTTAGAATAGTTTAATTCATCAGCTAATTTTGATACAGAAACGCAAGGGTTTTCAAATCGAAGGGGGATTGTAATCAAGTCTGTATTCTTCTCTTGGTAATGTTACATCGTATTTCATTGAATTCCTGTTCTTTATTTATTTTTCTGGTCTTGGTATATTTTTTCAGGTATTTATAATTTTTAGGTTTTAATTTCATATTTCTTTAATTCTTATTTTGTATATTTACAGGATATTTTCAAATTTATTGGTATTGGATTTCACTTGTCTTTAGCCGTTGTGTAAAAATGGGTTCTAAATTTGTTACTTTTTGTCTCTGTCTCTCTCTATATATATACTGTATTACTAATTTTTAGATACTACATATTAGTTACTATACATATGTGTTTTTGTTTATTTTTAGTTTGCGATTACCTCGGTGAAAATTTAGCATGGTTTCTGGGGATTACATCACCTAAGTTTCAGTATGAATTAGAACAATATGAAAAGATAGTAAAAGAGGTAAGTATTTATATTTATTTGTAAATATTGTTTCTGTGGAACATCTGTAAAATATTTGAAAATTTATATGTAGAATTTCCTGTAACGATACAAAGTATTTAAATTTTTTAGACACCATTACATTATAAAATTTCAGTTTTGGTACTTTTAAACCTCAATAATATGCATATATTGTGTTAAAGAGTAATAAACCCGGAAGTATTGCAGCGTAAAATAACTTTATTAGACAAAAGAAGGACCACAGTAGGAATTAATCACAATCTTTAAACAAAATGGCGATGGTGCAAGCACCTTAACCTGGAAAGAACTCTATTTTTGCACGTGCTGAAACTTTTATGCCAAAACCCTGACCATGCATATTGTTGCTGCTACTTTTATGCTTGTCACATTAATTTTTGAAAATGAAGATATGTAGTGATACAAAGAAAGATGCTTTTATATGGTTTTTAGGTAATTTTATTATCATAAATAATTTCTAGACAAATTATATAGTGTTTTTAATGTAATTCATTAATATGCTCAAGTTTATTATTAGTAACATAATAGTACAAAATTTTTATATAAAATTAAAAGTTGTGCTTCTAGAAACATTAAAGGATATTATCATGATTTGGTATGAAATGCTTTTTTTGGGCGATGTTGAAAGTATTCCCCCCTCCCACATTAGCAAATAAAAGTAACATGGAGTATTGGATTATCTGAGAGAAAAAAATTAACCACATGCTTTGAAATTTTTTTATTGATGAATATGATGTCTCAATAGTAATGACTTGCTTGAGCCATAGCTTCAACAGCTGTTAATTTGAAGTATTTTTAGAAGTAATTAAAAACGTAGAGATTTATATAGAAATAGAGCAAACTTAATCCGATGCCATATGTTTTTATCAGTAATGGCTTGAGAAATTACTCTTCTAGAAACAAAATTTGCAAGTCTATTAGTATAAGTGTAGTGGCAACAAAATTTGCAAGTGTATGGTTGATTTTACAGTACACACTGTAAAATAAACTCTACAGTGTTAGCTTATATGTTAAAATATATATATATATATAATTACAAAACAATTCTTTTGACACACACCACAAACACAAACTTGCCCAGTACTTTCGCGCATTAAACTGCAGAAAAATTATCATTAAAGATATAAAGTAATATATATCTATATGATTTTTAATAACATTATACTGCCTGCAAATTGTGAGCAATAGAGCATTTACACTGATGAAGAATTGAATTTAAGGATGTTTTTTCTCATATTAGTCCTTATTAGTAACCTCTAATAGCCTTAATAATTTCCAGCCTAACAGTAGGCAATTTATCATTTGAAGGAAAAGATATGCTTATAACTATTTATTTATGCAAGATAGTGTTTACTTCGGAAAAAGCAAAGTGATGGTCTGGGCTGGTACATCTGTTTATAATTGCAACCAACTTCCACAGCATCAGAAATGGAGTACTTACAGCCTAGTATAAGGGATAAGGTCTCAGATACTTGTTGTCTCTTATGCTGCAGGAATTTCAGATGATTCATACTGTGGTGTTGTTGTTACTGCCACTTGTCTGACAGTAACTTCATACCAAGCCCACGAAATTCCTCGTGGCAAAGAGCGCAAGATATGCCTGTTATTGGCAACAGCCTTGATCGCCATACAGGTGAGAGTGCGATTTAGCTCAGTTCCGCCCTCCCCCCAAATTTGATGGAGAGCACTTCGGAAAAAGCAAAGTGATGGTCTGGGCTGGTACATCTGTTTATAATTGCAACCAACTTCCACAGCATCAGAAATGGAGTACTTACAGCCTAATATAGGGATAAGGTCTTCAGATACTCTGTTGTCTCTTATGCTGCAGTAATTTCAGATGAATTCATACTTGTGTTGTTGTTGTTACTTATGCTCACTTGTTGAGAGTAACTTCATCCCAAGCCCCGAAATTCTCGTGGCAAAGAGCGCAAGATATGCCTGTTATTGGCAACAGCCTTGATCGCCATACAGGTGAGAGTGCGATTTAGCTCAGTTCCGCCCCCCCCCCCAATTTGATGGAGAGCACTTCGGAAAAAGCAAAGTGATGGTCTGGGCTGGTACATCTGTTTATAATTGCAACCAACTTCCACAGCATCAGAAATGGAGTACTTACAGCCTAATATAGGGATAAGGTCTTCAGATACTCTGTTGTCTCTTATGCTGCAGTAATTTCAGATGAATTCATACTTGTGTTGTTGTTGTTACTTATGCTCACTTGTCTGACAGTAACTTCATCCCAAGCCCACGAAATTCCTCGTGGCAAAGAGCGCAAGATATGCCTGTTATTGGCAACAGCCTTGATCGCCATACAGGTGAGAGTGCGATTTAGCTCAGTTCCGCCCCCCCCCAAATTTGATGGAGAGCACTTTGGAGAGGGGACAGGTCCAAGGGTCTCCCTCTCCCCTTCCACCAAAGCATATGACAGGATTTTCGGCTTGTCAAATATTTAGAGTGCCGTTCTGCTGCACTGACACTGCACATTTACAAACATCCATGCCTTCTCTGGGATCCGAATCCGACCCCTTCGGCAGCCATTAACCACTATACCGGTTGGGTGGCATTCATACTTGTGGATGATAATTATGGACCAAATCATGCTGAATTTTCTGTTCAATGGAGTAATCTTCCAAATGGATTGTCTGACCATTTTCCCAGGCACCAGTAGTTCTGAAGAGAAGACTCCTAATCAATATTACCTCCACAAATAGTCCAAAATTGACAACTGTTATTCTGGAGAAATGGTGCAGAGTATCTCCTCTCCTCCTTAATACTCATATTTGTGACATCATTGCTTTTTCTCAGGTAAAACTGTACTCCAAATTAAAAATTCTTCTATGGCTCGACAGCCCTGGTCTTATCCAGGCATCTCTACTTCTGGCAACTATTTTCCAGTTTTAACCTTTAAAATTATTAAGATCTTTTTCGACACAATTAATCCTTCTAGCAGGGGGTCTGCCCCATGGGCTTTGCCAGAAAGATTTTCTTGCAGCAATGATCTTTATTGTCGTTCTAGCTAGATGGCCAGCCCATTAAGTCTCTGTCATTGATGTATTTTACAATATCAGGTTGTTTGTAAATTTTATAGAGTTCTAAATTAGATATTCTTCTCCATGATACATTCATCTGGACCTCACCAAGAATGCAGCACAAGATCTTTCCCTCAAAAATTCCCAGAGCTTCCTCATCATGTAAAGTCAATGCCCAAGTCTCTGATGCATAAGTCAGATAGATCTTTGTAAAGAAGCAATTTACTCTTAATTCAGAAAGCTAAATTAAAAATTATTTTGATAATTTATTTTTCTGCTGCTATAAAATGCATAAATAATTCCAAGGACCCACTCAGGCAATTAGCCTTTTCCCCCCACATCATTTAGATTGAATTATTATCAAAAGAGGCATTCCACAAAGAAGTATAAATTTAGTGTCGAAATGTCAATATCAATGAATAACTGCACTCCACAGTGAAAAAAAAGGTAAAAACACTGAAGGACTTTAATTTAAAATTTTGAAATCAAAAAGGACCAGAATCAAAATTTGAATGGTTACACATCATTGAAATTTTGAATAGATTCTATGTTTTCTTGAGCAATGGTCTTTGTGGTGTAGCAACACGAGAAAGGAAACACTCGGAAATGTCAGTTCTGACGTTACAAATGCTTCGGGTCTGTGGAGGGAGGGATGGGGGGACTCGTTAGTCGAGTTAGATAAAAGAGACAGGGCCACGAAATGCACAAAAACTTTCATTTTTAATTTGGTATAAAAATTTATTAAAATTTCAGTATAGTTTTTTAACTATGTTTTCTCACTATGTTACTCTATGTTTGTAGTTCATACTTTAGCCTCTAAAACTTTCTGAAATCGGCAATTTAAATCCCCCCCCCCCAATTTGATGGAGAGCACTTCGGAAAAAGCAAAGTGATGGTCTGGGCTGGTACATCTGTTTATAATTGCAACCAACTTCCACAGCATCAGAAATGGAGTACTTACAGCCTAATATAGGGATAAGGTCTTCAGATACTCTGTTGTCTCTTATGCTGCAGTAATTTCAGATGAATTCATACTTGTGTTGTTGTTGTTACTTATGCTCACTTGTCTGACAGTAACTTCATCCCAAGCCCACGAAATTCCTCGTGGCAAAGAGCGCAAGATATGCCTGTTATTGGCAACAGCCTTGATCGCCATACAGGTGAGAGTGCGATTTAGCTCAGTTCCGCCCCCCCCCAAATTTGATGGAGAGCACTTTGGAGAGGGGACAGGTCCAAGGGTCTCCCTCCCCCTTCCACCAAAGCATATGACAGGATTTTCGGCTTGTCAAATATTTAGAGTGCCGTTCTGCTGCACTGACACTGCACATTTACAAACATCCATGCCTTCTCTGGGATCCGAATCCGACCCCTTCGGCAGCCATTAACCACTATACCGGTTGGGTGGCATTCATACTTGTGGATGATAATTATGACCAAATCATGCTGAATTTTCTGTTCAATGGAGTAATCTTCCAAATGGATTGTCTGACCATTTTCCCAGGCACCAGTAGTTCTGAAGAGAAGACTCCTAATCAATTATTACCTCCACAAATAGTCCAAAAATTGACAACTGTTATTCTGGAGAAATGGTGCAGAGTATCTCCTTCTCTCCTTAATACTCATATTTGTGACATTCATTGCTTTTTCTCAGGTAAAAACTGTACTCCAAATTAAAAATTCTTCTATGGCTCGACAGCCCTGGTCTTATCCAGGCATCTCTACTTCTGGCAACTATTTTCCAGTTTTTAACCTTTAAAATTATTAAGATCTTTTTCGACACAATTAATCCTTCTTAGCAGGGGGTCTGCCCCATGGGCTTTGCCAGAAAGATTTTCTTGCAGCAATGATCTTTATTCGTTCTAGCTAGATGGCCAGCCCATTTAAGTCTCTGTCATTTGATGTATTTTACAATATCAGGTTGTTTGTAAATTTTATAGAGTTCTAAATTAGATATTC